ACAACTCAACGCCTGCTACTACATTCATTCTTCTTCACCACTCACACGCTCTCTGAGAGCTTCGAGGGTGAAGGTAAAAAAAACCCTCGCCCACTACTCCATTCATTCACCCGCACCACACACGTGCTCTGTGAGAGCTGCGAGGGCGAAGGCACATGCCCCCCACCCCCACCTCCACTCATTTACCCGTGCCCCCCACACGGTCTCTGCGATCATTGAGGATCCTCTCATTCTCCCTCACCACACACACGGTCTCTGAGAGCTTCGAGGGCGAAGGTAAAAAAAACCCTCGCCCACTACTCCATTCATTCACCCGCACCACACCTATGTTCTGTGAGAACGTCGATGGCGAAGGTTGAACTCACGCCTTCACCCCTCGATTCCCTGGCCCCAAAGCTTCACCCATGCCTCGCAAACGGTCTATGGGATCTTCGAGGGGAAAGAAGACAAAAAGCAACGTACCTCTATCCCACGACCCCATTAATTCATTCTTCATTACGATCCCCTGACTCCTCCCACTCCACGGTGTTAGGGTTTCGTGACCCTACACCTTTTCTCAAACATTCCCCAGACATACTCTGTGAAATATTTATGGGTGAAGGTAGACCCATTCTCTCCGGGAACGCCTTTACCTCAAGTACTCATTCGTGTCCCACACATGCTCTGTGAGAGATTCGACACGTGAGCATCCTCTGGGTATGGAATAGCTTTCCTTGTTATTCTTTTACTTACAGAAGTTCAAATAACACTTTTCTACCCTCATATTCTCCTCTAGATTGTAAACGTCTTTGAGCTTTGAGTGGACTTGCTTACAACTCTATTAACGTCATCAGTATAATTTTTTTCATATTTTTTCATATTTTCTATTTCTTACCCTTTTTTATGAGAAAATCTCTTTTAGTTGCATCCCTACAATTCCGTTTATTTCTAAATTATATTTCTTCTACTCACTGTATATTTGTTTCTTTTTTCCTTTCTAGCATTTTTATTCTGCTTTTCATTTTCTCTTCTGTAATGACGCCACTCTTATTCTACCTCGTATTTAATGTACACACACTCTTGACGGACTTTCTCCAATTCACTTTCTCTCCAGCATTTCTTCTCTTTCAACATCAAATTTCGTTTTTTATTATTTCCTTTTGGAACAAAAAAAGCCTTATCAGATTACGCCCCTCGCTCGATATCGTTTCTCTGCTGTAGCATTCTACGTCCGAGAATTCTGAAGGGGACGGCAACATTTTAAAATTCTAAAGGTACTGCCTTCAAAGAGACGAATAAAAGTCAAATAAGATTCACGGTTACGAAGATTTCATACGTAATCAAAATGTATTATTTCGTGGGAATAAATTTTCTTTCGAGCCTGCCATGCAATAACCAAAAGATAGTCTTTGAACGTTTTTTCCGCGAATGGGTTTTACGGCCTGCGTGTGCGTTCTGTGGAATGACGCCGCATTACGATTACGATAGGCAATCTAGGGCTTTCTATCGACCACGCGAACACGCAGCGCCGTTCCCTCCGCAAGCAATCACTGGACCGGCCCACGCAAAGGCGTTCTTTGACTCTCAAACCGTGAAATTACCGTACTGGACGGAAAATCGGGCGAAGTGAACAAAAATATGCTGAATGGCTTACTAAGAAGCATTTGTGTGCAAAACATAGTCGTTTCAGGAAGTATCTTTGACCATAGGGTTTTGCATTTTATATTATAATATAAATTGGGAGACGTGGGTTGCCTTGTATATTTACTATTTGTAGATGAATGTCCGTTGTTTGAAAAAGGCTAATGTAGATTGTTACATGATATGTTTGAAATTATACAAAATTAATATAAAAGAAATACTCGTAAATTATAACCCACTTATCAACCGTAGGAGTAAATTTCACTACTGATCACACGTAGGTTATTGTAGAGTACTCGCAAGGTATTTTGTTTGGAGCACTCTGACTGTTGATAAAGCGAGAGATGCTTGGACGTAGCCCAACAAGCTGCTGCATGCAGAGTGGCGCATGTTTCAATTGCGTTTGTGCCAAAGATTATTTCCCAACATTAGTTTGTCTGCCTTTACTTCAGGCTCTCATTGTATATTTTCTCTTTGTTTCTTTCTTTCTTTCTTTTCTTTTTTTCTTTCTTTCTTCCTTTCTGTCTTTCTGAGAGTTTCACTCACTCACAGACTCCCAATTAATAGTAAATTGCATTCACGTAAATATATTTTGCCTCCTGGAAGTAGTAACACTTCAACACTATGATTCTAACATTGACCCATACGAGGAAATTAATGTCGATGAAAGATCTACATGTTTCAATGTAGACTCTTATATTTTGTTTAATAAAGAGTTCTTTCGGAAGTGCTCACTGCCTTAGGTGAATTTTAAGACAAATCGTGGTCTGCCTATATCGTTTTATTTACTTCATTACACTCTGACCGTAACAACCCAGTTTTATCGGGATATGCCCCAAACAATGAAAATGAGTTAGAAAAAAGACAACGCTCCATTTACACTCTCAAAAATGAGGAATTCTACAACGACACTGAACTAATTGATAAAAGCAATTGATAAATGAAAGTTACATAGAAACAAAGCTTCCCTTAACATAACCACATATGAGTATTTTGAAATTGAATTTTGACCCATTACTGTTGATATGCTAAACGTTTTTGAGAGACGAATTTTCCCTTAATAAACTCAAACGAGTACTCTGCAACACAAATTATAATTAAAGCAATTCATAATGGAACATTCATAAATTATTGCGAAACAACACTTCCCTTCAAACATTTCACCTAAAATTATTGATGAAAGAGTTTTCCAAAAACCAAAGCTTTCCTTAATTCGTAATGACAAAGACATTATGTATAACGTAATTTAAATTAATGGTATTGATACTATTAAAGTTACTGAGACGCGAGCTTCCCTTAATAATCACAAATGAGCATTATGTATCACACACTTGACCGAATGTTATTGATGATCTAAAGGTTTCCAAAAGTTTTCTTTTACAAGTGATCATTTTATAACATAAATTTGACTCTAATGGTTTGATACTATTAAATTTACTGGGAATCCTTTCTTAATAATCACAAACTAGTATTCTATAACATGGATTTGACCGAATGGTATTGATACTATTAAAGTTACTGAGACGCGAGCTTCCCTTAATAATCACAAATGAGTATTATGTATCACACACTTGACCGAATGTTGTTGATGATGTAAAGGTTTCCAAAAGTTTTCTTTTACAAGTGATCAATCTATAACATAAATTTGACTCTACTGGTTTGATACTATTAAATGAAGGCTTGACACCTCCCCTAGTAATCCCACGTGGGGGTGACACGCGAGCTCGCGCCAGAGGCGAGGAGCGCGCGCGGCGAGTGACGGCGCGCGGGTGTGGTGTTCGCAGAGCTGGCAGCGCTGGAGGAGGCGGCGCCGGGCCGCACCACGCGCATCCTCACCTCCGACTTCCCGCAGTACTTCGCCATCGTGTCGCGCGTGCGCCAGGAGGTGCACGCCATCGGGCCCGAGGGCGGCATGGTGTCGTCGAGCGTGGTGCCGCAGGTGCAGGCCGTCTTCCCGCAGGGCGCGCTCACCAAGAAGATCAAAGTGGGACTGCAGGTAAACTTGTTCAAGCCGCGCAAGGGCGCGCACGCCGGGATGCTCAAAAAGATCACGGTCAACCACGTGCCCAAGAAGAAGCGCTTCTCGCTCGTGTGGTGAGGCGGCACGGCGCGGGCGGCGGCGGGCGGTGGGAGGTTGACACGCGAGGCTCTCTCGAGTCTGTCTCGCGTAGTCCCGGTCGGTATCAACACGCGGTGCGGTTTCAGGTTACGGGGTGTGGATGAAACTCAGGTACCGCCTTGAAACGATGAGTACAATCTTCAATGTTCTCTTTAGTTTTTGAACAAAAGTAGCGTTGCAAAAAATACACAATACAATAATTTTGTATTTAGTCTCACAGACGTGTCGTCAGTCTTGTTTGAATCGTATAAAGTGTGTCTTGATGTCTGTGTTAGATCTTCACAAACTTTATTTTTTCTAAAATGCACCTTGATGTTTTAGAAAATGCATCCCAAATTACGAATTGACGTAGCAAAAAACAACAAAAATGTTTCTATGGAGAATGGCGTATACAGTCATCCCAAATGAGAACATTGTTTGTGCACAACCGGCAACCAGAATTTACCTGACTTTATATACAGAGTTAGGTTAAACGTGGCACGCATCCAAAATCGTTGAAACTGTAAACTTGAGAATACTTTTCTTACGTAAGTTTCTCTCGATCCGTTCTTTCAAGGTGGTTTCACGACTTTCCCCCAAACACTCCGTATAGTTCTTCAGAGAAAACCACGATTAATACTGACCCTCCCGCCTGCCGCCCCCCGTCCCACCGCCCCCGCGTCCCTGACGTCATCGCCCACCGCCAACTGGAAGTAACCACTGCGAGGGATACAGGGATCCTCTGGGCTGAACGGAAGCAGCAGGGCGCACTGCATGCTGCAGTAGATGCGCGGCCTCGGGGCAGTACATGTGGAAGGTGCAGAGGGAACGTGGGTGCGAGCGTTGCCTGGATAATGGAAAGCCTTTCTTCGCAACACCTATCAAATCGTTTCGAGAAAGCAAAGAATTTTAGAGTACGTGAAGAGTGGAACGGTTATAGATTTATGTCAACTGGAAATCATTGGAAAAAGATAATTTCGTCAACTTTTATGTTGAAGACTTGAGAAACTTGTGCAGTAATGTCAAACATGCAAAAATACAACACCCATAAATATTTTTTCTCAAGATTTTTTCTGTTCTGTTATTTTGAGAAAAAGAACTTTAGAAAATATGTCGTTCCATATTTCCATGAAGAAAGACAGTTTTCTAATAAAAGCATTCACCAAATATTAGATCCCGTTCCATTGTTTTTCGTCGTGTCGTGTGTTTTTGGTCGTGACGAACTTGCAGGGAAATGAAAAGTATTTGGATTCTAGAGGAGGGTGAACGATTAGATTGATTGAATTACACATCGTTGATTACACATGATTGTACTGCTAAACAATACAATCGAATCTTTAAAATATCAATCAAAATTATTTCAAAAGTATAAAAACCTATTCAGTTAAGTCATGCGGTGGATTAAGTCCAATTTTTTAGCATAAGTCAATGACTCTGTCAAAATGACATTCTATGTGGCAAGCTTTAGTATGTTTTGCAAAGTTCGCAAAAATATGGAAATTGTAATTTATAGGCGACATTTATTTAAGAACTAATGTTCGAATGAGTTCATTTCTGAATTTAATGGCAAAAACTATTTAGGTGGTGAATTGTTTTTAAAATTTAAGAACAATATTTCTCAAACTTTTTAAAATCTTCAGAGCCTTTCTTCATAAACTAACATACTTTGCTTAGAAACGAGACATAATATTCATGTGCTTGAAAAAACGTAACTAAGATATACAATTTACTTTCAAAATTAATCTTTCTCACAGTTCAAAATACTTTGTTCTCACGAGAACTCATAACAAGTTGACGAAACGTTTTCAGTTGTAATGATCTCTTCAACTTTATTATTTCATAGTGCTGAGTATTACAAAAGAAAATCGAAAACGGAATATATTCTCCTTATGGCTGTTTAACACACATGTTTCAAAATAGTGTTGACCAAGACAATATTGCGTTTCCTCATGGTTGATTATAGTACTAACTATTCCAGTACGAGGAAGAAACGCCTTCCTTATTGAAATTGCATTCTCGTCACTCAGCACACTAATTCATTATGATCAAATAGAAATTAATAGTGTGAATTTCCACAGGCAGAAAGAAAACGCGGCCTGCCTATGAGTAGTCTCGTGGCTGAGCCATAAAAAGAATCGAGTAAATGTTTGCCTCGCACCCCGTTGCCCCTGCACTCCCGGCTCCAGGTCTAAGTCAATAGCGCCGTAGTGGAAGTGGGCCGCGCAGCCGTAGACCCTAGCCCGATAGTTTTGTACGCCTAGGCCGATGGTAGTCGCGGCCGGGGTAGACACCCGGCCGCTCAGAGAGTACAACTATGGCGAGCGCGCGCGCACGCAGTCCGCGGCGCCATCTTGTAACGAGTGCCGAGGCGAGTACGCGAGTGCGAGTGGCGTACACACACACACACACACACACGCTAAGGGAACGAACGCGAATGTGTTCCGTGAAATGAGTTGGATACAATGTTTTCTCGGGGTTCCTTCAAACGTGCTTGTTGTCCTCTGAGAACGATAGTTTTCGTAGTCGCTCGTTCGTATTACCACGTGCTGTGGTGTCACGTGATAAATACCGAAACCAAGCTGAATACGTTCGTTCCATGTTTGATCAACCTCGTTCCGAGAGAGCCAGCGAAAACATACGTTATTACATATGAGGATTTCCATCGTTCAAATCCGCTGCCGTTCCGATAGAGCTTACCGAACTAGTTAGACGTACAGTCCATCTCAAATTTAACACGACACCAGCGTGGAACGTTTGGTTCAGCAATGACTTGGTCCGTCGTATTGAGCGTCAAGCAAGCACAGGCGAACATGCGACCAGACGACGAGCTCTCTGATGCACCGACGCTCTGAACTGTTCGCGCGTTCAGATCGCGGAGGACAGAACGAACAATGGCAAGAAACAGCGTCCGCAGGACGGCAGGCCTTCGCACGTTCAGGGATGCCATTCTTTAATTCAGTGGGAATGGGCATACCCGCACCACCCATCCCGTTTACGTACTTCGGACGATCTTTCCATCGCAACCTGAACGCGTCAATATCGGAAGCTAAGAACCAGGGAGTGTAGGTCTTCAAAAAGTCTGGTATTGCTAGGGAAGAGAGGAGTTAATGAAAAAGTGATTATTAAAAAGCGAGTCAGAGGATAAAAACACTAGGAGTGTTGTTAGAAAATTCTACAGTTTAAGTAGGATATCCCCAAGAAAGTAATAGGATTTGGAATATCGAGGAACCATAAAAAAGTAAGGAGAAAATACAGTACAAATAGGATAGGGAGGTTCAGTGTTGAGAACGAGGTGAAAATTTATTTCGATTGAGGGGGAAGTGGAAGATGCGACAGGATTTCTGCAAAGGCGTGGGAGGATGTGATAAAGGGGTGCCAACGGTGGTGAGGATAGTAGATTGTCATATGGATTAGATTAGAAAAAGGGGTGAACGGAAGACGATGCGACACACGGAAGGATAAAATGCAGGAGAGAAGTGCGAGAATAATGGTACGGCTGAAGTTAGGTGAAAGGAAGTTTTGCAGGCGATGTACCTGAAGGTGGAGAAGAGACGGAGAAGTAAGGAACGTTGAGAAATAAATTGGAGGCGAGGGATTGGGCTACAGAAATTGTGTAAAAGATGGGAGCGTAACCGGGAAAATGTGAAAAAGAGAAAGGAAAGTTTAGGAAACAAATGAAAGAAAAATTCTCAGGTAGTAATTGATGGCAAATTTTGGTGCTGAATATGAATATCTATCAGCAGTAACTGAAAAGTAAGTTGAATATTTTTATTCCGGTTATCCCCACTTCCATAAGCATAATAAGACCGTCTAGAAATACCCGTTACATGAACCGTAGAGAGGGACAGGGGGTGGGGAGTAACCGGAGGAAGCTAAATGAAAATATTCCTAACATTATCTTAAACGCTACGCCTATTAAACCTGCAGTGATTTCAGTACAAGGGTAAAAAGCTGAATAAATGAATGATGATGATGATAATGATGATTAGTAGCAGCAGTGTGTATTCACCGTGTGCTAGCTTGACGCTCACATTGATGGAATTAATCAGCAGGTTCGCTTCGAATCGAATGATTGATGAACCTCGCGATGAAGAGAAAAAGCCAGATTAGTGTGTCCGCCGCCGAGTTTTCGTGCTCGCCTCGGCTTCGCTAGCCGACACGGGCGCTTGCCTAACTCAAGCCATGGCCCCGTGCCGTGCCGCGCCGCGCCGCCTCGCGCTGTCAGTCCCACTCACGCGCCCTTTTATGGATGTCTCAGAATAAATGTCACAAACTTCTAGGGCAAAAGAGGGATATAAAATGATTACTTTTGCCGATGAAGATGTAGTGGAAAACTTGATGTAACGGAGTTACACATGTCCCATTTCTTCTGATTTTAGACAGCTGTTTATGCACAGATTTTCGACAGGTCACGTTCCGTCGTCATCAAGGAGATTTCATAAATCTGCCGAAAGTGTGTGCATACATTACCTATCATTCTGGTGGGAGATGTATATGATGCAATTTCCCACTGAATATTCATCGGCAAAATGTAATCATTTTTGACCCCTGTGCAAGTCCTAAAAGTTTGTAACATTTTTTCCGGGACAACTGTAGAACGGTCTCACCGACTCACCATCACCGCCACCACACGACCCACGCAGCGCTCGGTAGTGGTAGTAGCCGCACCCCCCACGCGGGCGCTGCAGGAGAAGGGGAACGAGGCTTACAGCAGGGGCTGACGCAATGCAGTGAGTGGTGCAGAATGCCAGGGCAATTCACACCCCTTTCCTTGCATTGCCTCTGGCACGTGGGCAAGGTAGTCTCCGTTTGCACGGTGTTCCCGTGCGAATGTGGGGTTCATTCGTACGGTATTTTTTTTCTTGAACATTCCTCTCGCAGAATTGCTGTGTAGCAAA